CCTCTCCTGTTTGGCTCTCTTTCCCTCTCCTCGCCGTTCTCCTTCCTGTTCTCCTTCCCTTGGCCCTTCCGGTTTCTGGGCCTGCCTTCCGTCCTTTTGTGCTCTCCTTCTTCTCCTTGCGTGCTTTTGCGTCCTTCCGGTTTCCGGCTTCCCCTTCCCTTTGCCCGTCCTTCCGCCTTCTCCTTCTTGTTTTGGCCCTTCCGCCTTCTCCCTCTTCTTTCCGTTGCTTCTGTTTTCCTCTCTTCCTCGTTTTCCGGGCCTTCCCCTCCTCTTCCGTCTTTTTCCTGGCCGCCCTGTCCCTCGTTCTCTTGCCTTTCCTTCTTGGTCCTTTGGTTCTCCCTTCCTTTTCCGTCTCCTGCCTCCTTCTCGTCTTGGCTTCCTTCTTCTGTGGTCCCTTGCGCTTCGTCTTTGCCTCCCTTCCTTCCCGTTTTCCCTTTCTTGTCCTTCTTCTTTCCTTCTTCCTTCCTGTTCTTCCGTTTCGGGGCTCCTCTCCTTTCTTCTCTTTCCTCCTCATTCTTCCTTCCTGGTCATCTCCTCTCTTTGGTCCCTTGGTCCGCTTCCCCTGTCTTCCTTTTTCCTTCTTCTTCCTCTGGTCCTCGTGTTCTTCCCCTCCCTGTTGCGTCCCCTTGGGCGCTTCCCCTCCCCTCTCCGTGCCGCTGGGCGCTTTTGGCGGCTTTCTTCGCTCTCGCTGTTCGTGCTCTCGCTCGCTGCCGTTTGCCTCCTTCCGGTCCCCCCTCCTTCCTTCCCGTTTCTTCTTCTTGGTCCCTCCTGTTCTCGCTGTTCCCCCTTTTGCCCTCGTCCCCTTTTCTCCTTCCGCCTCTGGCCCCTTCCGCTCTGTCTCCCCTGTTTGTCCTTCTTCCCTGTTCCTCGTGCTTCTCCTGCTCCTTCTTCCTCTTCCTCTTTTCCTTCCTGCTCCCCTTCTTTTTCTGGTCTTCCGTCCTGCCTTGTTTCCCCCTTGCTTTCTGTGGCCTTTCTTTTCGGCCTTCCGTTTCTTCCCTTTTGCCGTGCTCTCCGCCCTGTTTTCCGGTTCCCCGTTTTCCCTCTTGTTTTTCCTCTTTCGTCTCCCCCTTCCCCTCCTCCTCTTCTTCTGGCTCTTTCTTGCTTTTTTGGTTTCTTTGCCCTTTTCTGCCCTTCCTCCTCTTCTTCCTTGCGTTTTGGCGCGTGCTTTTTTCCTCCCTTCCGCCTTTTGGCCCCCCTGTTTTCTTGGCCCTCTCTCCCTCCTTTCTTTCGTCTTTGCCTTCTGCTTTTCGCTGTCTTGCCCCCCTTTCGTTCCGTCTGCCTCCTTGCCTCCCCTTTCGTGTTTTTCCTCCTCTTTCGCTTGTTTTCTGCTTTTCCTCCCCTTCCGTGCCTCCTCTTCCGTTTCCTTCTGCCGTTCGGCCTTTGTGCGCTTTTTTCTTTCCGCCTCCCCCTCTCCTCTGGCTTGCTCTTTGTGCCTTTCGCCTCTTTCTCCCCCGTTGCTTTTCTGCCCTTCCCCCTTTTCCCGTGGGCTTCTCGTTTTTCCCCTTTCCCGTCTCATCTCTTCTCTTCTTCTTCCCTTTTGGCTTTCTTTTGGTTCGCCGTCCTCCTTGTTTTGCCTCTTCCTTGTCTCCTTTGCGGTTCTTGCTCCTCTTCCCTTGTTTTGGTTCTGCCCTTTCTTTCGCCTCTCTGCGTTTCCTGTTTCTTTTCTGCCTCCTTGTCCCCCGCCTCCTCTTTTGTTTTTTTCCCTTCTGCCCTTTTCTTCTGCCTTTCGCCCTGCCTCCTTTCGGCATGGCCTTCTCTTCGTTCCTTCTTCGTTGCCCTCTGCCTCCCTTTCGTTGCGGTCGTGCCTGCCTTTCCGCCCGTTTCGTCCGTTCCTTTCGTTCCTCCCTTTCCCGCCTTCTCCCTCGGTGCCTCTCCCCTTTCTCGCTCTCCCCCCCGCTTTTCCTTCCCCCTGCGCCCCCTGCCTTCGGGCCGTTTCTTGGGCGGCCTCCTCGTTCTCTGGCCCTGGCTTCCCGCCTTGTTGCTCCTCGTCCCTTGCGCCGCTCCTCTGTCTCCGGCGTTGGTCTTTCCCCGCGCTTCGTCTCGCCCCCTTTCCTGGGCGTCTCCCTCCTCATTGTCTCTCCTGTGTTGGTTTCCTTTCGTTTGTTCGGCTTTCCCTTCCCCTTTTGCCCCGTGCTTCCCCTTCTTCGCTTCCTTCCGCGTCGCCCCGCCTCTTTCTTTCCTCCCCTTGTCTCCCGTTCCCTCCCTCCGCTGGCCCTGCTCCCTGCCTCTGTGTCTTCTCTTTTCCTTCGTTGGGGCGTCGCCCCCGCCTCCTTCCTCCGTTCCCCTTCTCTCTTGCGTTGTTGGTCCCTCCCCTTTGCTCCCTGTCTCGTGCTCTTCTCCTTTTCCTTCGTTGGGTGCGTCGCCCCGCCTCTTCCTCCGTTCCCCTTCTCTCTGCGCTGTTCGCGTCCCCTCCCGTTTTCGCCCATCTCTTCTTGCTTCCATTGTCGCGTCCTCATGCTGGCCTTCGGCCCCCCGCCCTTTCGTTCATCTTTGTCTGCTTCCTCTAAGGCCTGCCACTCCTGCCCTCTCTCCTTCCTTTTCGCCCCCACGCCCCTCTGTATCGGGCTGTCGTTTCGGCCGTTTCTCCGTGCTGCTCGGCCTCCGCTTCCCGCCTCTCCTGGCCTTTCCTTTCCTTTTGTCCCCACGTCCCTTCTCCTCTTCGCGTGTCTGTACTTGTGTCTTCGCCTCGCGTCCCTGCTCTCCGCTCTTGCCTGCTTCTGTCTTGTGCTGACCCTCTTTTTCTCCTCCCTTCTTCTTCTTAGCTCTCCCTTTCCCCCTCCCACCCCCTTTTTCCGTCCTGGCCCGCCTCCCCTATCTTCTTTCTCTTGCGCGTCCCCTGTCTCTCCCTTCCGCGCTCGGCTCCTCTCTCCCCCCCCCCCTTCGGCGCCTCTCCTCTGCGCTCCTCTCCGCGTCCCATCCTCTATCTCTCCCCTCCTTCCTCCTTTGCCCCCCCCTCCTCTCCCTCCCCATTTCCAGAGCCCCGCCCCCACTCCCCTCCTTGCCTTCCTCTCTCCCCTTCTTTCCCCGCCCCCTCTGCCGCCCTGTCTGGTTCTGTCTCCCCCCTCCCCCTTCTCCTTTCCCCTCTATCCCCTCCTCTCTCCCGTCGTCCCCGCCACCCACTCTTCACTCCGCCCCACGACCACGCGCCCCGCTCCCGCCCCTCTTTGCCTCTGTCCCGCTGCCAGCCCTGCTGTTCTTCGCTACTCCTCCTCTTTTCTTCCTTTTTTTTTTTTTTTTTATTTTTTTTTTTTTTTTTCCCTATTTTCCCGGCGCTCCTCTCACTCGTACTTCGCCAGCTTCTCGCGTTTTCTTTTCCTTTTCTCCGCTTGGGTTCCGCGCCTCCCATTTGCCGCCCTGGCCGGCTCGCGCCCCGTGCCGCTGTCCCACTTCCCCCGCCCCCGCCCACTTCCTTGGCTTGTCCCAGCTTTCTGCCCCTAGCTTATGCTGCTCTTCCTCACCAGCCCCCCGTCAGAGGTGCCTCTGCGCCTTGGCCCTGCCGCTAGTCTCGCTATTTTGCCGTTCGTATAGCTGGGGCCCCGCTTGGTGTGCTCGCGGGGGCGCTTCCCGCCCCCGCCTCCTTGGTCGTCTCTCCCTGCGTGCATCATGTGCTCGCCCGCTTGCCCACACTCGGTGCTATGCTCACGCCCCAGACAGGCCGATGTTTTTGACCTCCTCCCCGCCCCAATGGCGACCCGGCCTGCCGGCCCGCCGCCGCCTCTGCCCTCCTTCTTTCGCTTGCCCCTCCTCCCTCCCCGCTCCTCGCGCCCGGGCCCATTTCCTTGCTCCTCGCTTCCACCTCCGTGGCCCTCACCCCGGCCTTGTTCTTGTAGTTCTCCATCCTGGTTGCAGTCGGCCGCTCGCCGCTCGTCGGGCGGTCCTCGCGCCGCCCTCCTGCGGCCTCTCTGCGTGTCTTCATCATCTCTCTCTCTGAGTCACCTTTCCCCTGCCCCCCCCATTCCCCTCCCCCCTGTTAGCCCTTCCCGTGCCCCCGGCCCATCCCTGCGGGTGTCCACCCCTACTGGCCGCCCGTGCCCCCCCCTCCCTGCGGGTGTGCCCCCTACCGTCATCTGTCTGTGTCGCCTCCCCCCTCTATTGGCCACGTGTGCCCCTGTCCTGCCCGCCTGCCCCCGGCGGCCCCCCCCACAACTCCTCCTCCTCCCCTTCGCATCTCCCCACTTCCCGCATGCCCGCCCCTTCCTCCCGGATTGTCTTTCCGCCCCTGTTTTCCCTGCCTGTACTTCTATCCTACTCGTCTCCCTCTCTCTCTTATCTATCTCTGGTCCGATTCCCTGTCCACCCTGTATTCGTGCGGCCTCACCCGCCTTCGCTCTGCCTCCCTGCCCCCCCCAGTGTTTGCCCACACCCCTTACTATGTGGTGTTCTTTTTTTTTGTGATGGTGCATTTTTTGCCCTTTCACTTCTGGTGTCTTCCTGAACCCCTGTCTGGTGCCTTTTCTGCATCCCATCATGGTGTCTGCCGCACCGCCCGCCCGGGCCGACCCTGTTACTCTCTACCGCCCCTCTCCTCTCGTTCTCTTATCTCTCTCTCTATCTCTATCATGCCCCCACGTACCAGGCTGCGTCGCCCGGTTAACACTCGCCCGGCCCTGGCACGTTCACCTCGGCCACCGTTCGCGCTCGGCGGACCCTCGGCCCATCCGCCCACGTCTATACGGCAGCCATCGCGCCTCGACACCGATTTTTGCCCGCGTAGTTCCTACCATCCCACTTGCCCCACCGGCGCTCTCACCTCACACATGTTCCATCACGGCGGCTTTTCTGCTCTTCATTTACGCGCCATTCTGCTTCCCCAATCCCCATCTAGCATCCCCCTTCGCCCTGTCCCACCGATTGGCCTTTATCTCCTTTTTCTCAGCGCCCCATTGTCCTGCCTCCGACGCGCTTCGTCCGCGTCAACCCTCAGTCCCACCTAGCATCTCCCGCCGCTCGTTCAGCCGCACTGAACTCCCTCCCCGCTCGTCACGCCGCTCACGACATCGTTCATTTCCCAGCAATTCACCGCATTACAGAACACAAGTGGTCATCATGCTTTTATAGGTCAAAAACTATAGTAGCTTTTACATTTTGCAGTATCAAGATTAAGTTTTAGTGGCTCTTAACTTAAACCAGACCTGGATTTTGCATCCGATTGCCAGTCCAGATCACTATGCAGAAATCACTGAGGAGCTGAATTGCATGTTCCGCACATATTTGAAAACAAGCTTCTAGCTGCCCACGCTTCATGCTACTAAACAATTACAGACGGAAACTCGATTAATTTTTGGGATAATATTCTTTTCCTGTTTTGGGCAGTAGCCTACGGAAGTCGATGACACACGAAATATTGGCAAGTCCTTGAATTCAAATTCCCAGAGGTAATTGTTAGATAGAACAAGTGAATGAGCAGTTAATGCGAATTGGTTCCACTGCAATAAGGATGGAATTGCCCTCGAAATCCCCAGCAGCGCATTTCGTAATGTGAAAAGATGCTATATTATTCAGAAGTCGAGGTTTAAAGGCAGACCAAGAAGCCAAAAGCGTTATTCTGGACGGTTGCTTTTTTGGAGATTCAGTTAGACAG